CCGAGTGAGATCTTTGGGCTTGGTACTAAGGTCATAGGAAAGCCATCGGAGGGTTTGGAGCAGGAGGGGAGGTGGGATCTGGTTTGGGTCCTAAGAGCGCTCCAGCTGCCGTATGCAGGAGGGTTGAAGGGGCCAGGTGGGAGGTCAGAGTCAGCTGGATGGGCCAGGGGCGGTAGTGTGGGGGATCCATTCACAGCCTGCACAGAAGCACATCCATAGTCCTGAGGGCAGCTGGTCACAGCCCTGTGGAATGGAGGTCCTGGGCTTCCAGCTATGACAAGGCTGTGCCATCCCGACTTCCGGATACAGACCCTGCACCGCTGGAGGCTGTGTGTGTGTGTGTGTGTGTGTGTGTGTGTGTGTGTGTGTGTGTGCACGCACACGCGCACATGCACATACAGTAAGGAAATCTTTTCCCACAAGCCCCCAGCAAACATCCACTCACGTCTCACAGGCCAGTGTCACGTGATGTGCTGATGCCTAAGCCAATCAAGAGCAGGGGACTTAGCCAGGCATGACCCACTCCCCGGGGCACATGGCTGTGGGGAGAGCGGGGATACCTGAATAAGATCGCATTCCATTAACGAGGAGGGGAATTTCTGCTCCTGCGTTTGAGGTCTGCATAAGCCCCTGAGACCAGAAGGAGCTGTGTGTTTAAGGGGGCTGGGTGGAATGAGATGGGAGCTGCAGGAGGCTGGCCTGCCCCGGAGTAGATCTTTGGGTTTGGTACTAAGGTCATAGGAAAGCCATTGGAGGGTTTGGAGCAGGAGGGAGCTGAGATCTGGTTTGGGGTCCTAAGAGCGCTCCAGCTGCCGTATGCAGGAGGGGTTGAAGGGGCCAGGTGGGAGGTCAGAGTCAGCTGGGATGGGCCAGGGGCGGTAGTGTGGGGGATTCCATTCACAGCCTGCACAGAAGCACATCCATAGTCTGAGGGCAGCTGGTCACAGCCCTGTGGGAATGGAGGTCCTGGGCTTCCAGCTATGACAAGGCTGTGCCATCCCTGACTTCCGGATACAGACCCTGCACCCTGAGTGCTGTGTGCTCTGAGGACAAAACTCTGTTGGCTGCATTCGGAGGCTTTAGAACCACTGACCTTGACCCCAGGAGCCTTCCTGCGGCATGTGGCCCACCTGGTTTCCAGGCAGGGTAAATAGCAATGGCCTCGTCTTTCAGATGTGGCCCGAGGATGCCCAGAAACCACATACTTTCCCTAAAGTCTTAGAGGATATATTAATTTCAAAATAGTGACACCCTAAAGGCACAGGGTTGGTGTGTATTAAAAGAGAAAAGTGTGTTTCTTTTCTCCTTGTTCAAATGCATCAAAGTGCATAAAAACGAATGTCAGCATGGATGCTCTTGCTTTTTACCACGTCAAATGCAGCCTAAGAGAAGGAAAACTCCAGCACCTGCTTGCTCGAGAACTGGTTCCTGGAGATGTCGTGTCTCTCTCGATCGGAGACCGGATCCCTGCAGACATCCGACTCACTGAGGTGAGTGGTCTCAAACCCTTGCCAATGGGGTATTTGATGGGGCTGGTCAAGGAGCAGACACTTAGCTTATTGTAGGTATGTACAGTCTCTGTCATACACAGGTGCTCAGACATACATGCACACGCACATGCATGCACACAAGACCGGAACGAAGTTAGCAGACAAGCGTATTCTACGCATAGAGCCCCTCAAACCATATTTCATAAATTGTCATTCTCACTTTAAGCCTAACAAATTTTGGCTATATGGTTTTCCAGTTTAAAGCAGGCTGCAATAACAAATTAAACCAAAGTGGGCTTGAGGAATGATACAAGAGTTGCCTCTCAAAACAGACACACAAATTTTAGAAAGACGTGATATTAGAGGTGGGTGGATCACCTAAGGTCAGGAGTTCAAGACTAGCCTGGCCAACATGGTGAAACCCCATCTCTACTAAAAATACAATAATTAGCTGGGTGTGGTGGCATGTGCCTGTAATTCCAGCTACTCAGGAGGCTGAGGCAGGAGAATCACTTGAACCCAAGAGGCAGAGGTTGCAGTGAGCCGAGACTATGCCATTGCACTCTACACTGGGCAACAGAGCGAGAAGCACACACTTTTAGGGTAGTGAGGTTTGGGGACACTGGCTGTGGGGCAAGCTTTATGGGTCTCTGGGTGCCACAGCTTCACAGAGCCATGCCTGAGACACTCTGCTGAGATTATCTGGGGTTCCCAGGAGGTTACATCAAGTTCAACATGATTTGTTGATGGGAGTAATCTATTTCAAGAATCCTTCCAAGAATGTGTAAGGACTGTTCAAAGCTTTGCATGATGAAGGATTAGACACAGATTATCTGCCTGATGTATTTACTGATGGGATGTATTCTCAGGAACTGTAGGATCAAGGACCCGCTGTTAAATGGGCAGCATAAGGGAAGGGGATGGAGAGGAGCACAAAGGGTTGGGAGCTGCGCCCTGGGACCTGTGTTTACAACATTCCTAGCCTGTCTGTGAAATAGGAGGCAGGGGCCAGGGCTTATGCGTGGCCACTTGGACACTGAGCTTCTCTGCCGTGACCTTCAGATTTCCAGGCAGGGCATGGATAAGGGTAGATGTTCAGGTACCAAAATGAAGGAGGGTACACCCTCAGGCTCAGGGTGGTGCCCTTTGCAGCACCAGAAATAGATCTGCTGTGGCCCGGCCTCTCCCCATGTTCAGCTCCAGCAGTCAGCATCTGACTCCAAGTCTGGGGTGCCTGGATCCAGTCAGAGGAACCACTGTCTGTGGCCAGTCACCACCTGCAAAGAGGACTGGGAAAGCCGGTCTCAGGTTTTCCACGTTTTCCTTTTCCTGAGAGAGGGGGCGTCCTAACAGGGGATGCTCCAGATGCCAGGGAGCCCGTGAGAAGGACACAGGTCCACCACAGGTGCAGAGGCAGAGAGAGGCCATATGAGAGGTGGCCAATGACCTGGGGCTGGACATTAGCCTGGGCTTGAGCCCTGGGGCCATCATTCAAAGCCTTGCAACCTCCAGCAAGTTAGTTAACCTCTCTGTGCCTCAGTTTTCTCATCTGCAAAATGGGGGCTGGTGATGCCTATAGGGTACTTGTGAAAATTAAAAAACTTCAGAGATGCCAAGTGCTCAGAACGGTGCCTGGCGCGGTGAGTGAGAGGCAAGCGCGGGGGCTGCCATTACCGCAGTGTGTGTTGGGAGTCAGAGAACCCGGAGTCCTATAGCTCCTACGGTGTGACTTGGGGAAGGAATTCACCTCTCTGAGCTTTGATCTCCTCACCCCTAAAAGGGGCTGATGTTGGTTTCCAGTTCACAGGGTTATTGTGAAGATGAAACAAGCTATGACCTGTGCTATGGTTAGCAGAAGCCCTTCGTGGGGTAAACGGTCACCAGTTACTGGTGATTGCTTTTATTTTTTATCATTATCGGTCTATACAACGGTTCTTTGAAACAACTTTTTACACCCCAGATAACTTCCTCACTGGTTCAGCTGGATTTCTCTCTACCCTGCTTATATTAAATTAAATTGTGGCTGGGCACAGTGGCTCATACCTGTAATCCCAACACGTTGGGCAGCCAAGATGAGTGGATTGCTTGAGCCCAGGAGTTCAAGACCAGCCTGGGCAACATAGCGACCCCCCATCTGTACAGAAAGTATTGTACCTGTGTACTGATACCACAAAGGTTATTTTAAAGCTACTGGCTGTGAACACTATGGATTTTCCTGGTGGTATTTTGCAATTCCATTAAACTATTAATAGCTTTGTCTATTCAGAGGAAAATGCTTATGAGCTGTTAAGCTCTGAGATCCAGGAGTACTTCAACTGTACATTTTAAAACCATTTCTGTCCAGCAGTTTCAGCAGGAAGCAGCAAGTTCAAGAAAGCTCTTAAAGTAACAGCCCTTTGTGCACAGTATATGGGGTCCCAGGACATTCTTTTCCCTTTCCCAGAGTTAAAACAGAGGAAGCCCTCAGTCAGAGGCTGAGCCGGTACAGCCAGCAAGCCTGGGTCACTGGTCATTCTTTCTCCCCAGCCATGTCTAAAAGAAAAAGGGAATTGGGTCGAAGGTGAATGGACTCCAGGTGACGCTTCGTCTTGGAGGTGGGGACACCGGGTGGGCGTGAGCCCTGCGTGTGGGAGATAGGAGGTGAGCCCGCGATTGTGCCTCCATCTTCAGGCTGGGCACGCCTCCTTGGTGGCCACAGGTTCTGTGCCCCCGACTCTATTTTTGCCCCTCACCCCTCCTTGCCCCTTTCCTGAGATTGTGCCCTGGGAACCTGGGAGGTCACCAGAAGCCCCTCCTGCCCACCTGCCGAACCCACACACAACCAGCTTTGCTCCTTCTTGGTCTGGAGGTGCCACCCGATCTTCCACCGGCCTTTATTTTTGTCATAGGAAGACAACAAATATTTTTCAGTATGTCAGGTCTATGCTGACCACCGTATGAAAATTGCTTCATTTCATCTCCCAACACTCTTAAGAGACCAGCACTGTAATGTTTCCTCTGTGTTATTTTACGACATGGACCCAGCAGCCCGGAGAGGTTGTGCGGCCCTGCGCAGTCACACGGCGGTGGGCGGTGGAGGGGGACGTGACCCCGGGCCTCTGGCTCCACAGCCCATGTCCTTACCCCCAGGACGTTCTCTCTCTCCCTATGGGCAGCCTTCAGACTCTTCCTGGCACTGCCTCTGCCCCTGGCTTTCCTTGATGTATCAGTGGCCTGTGGCTGCTGTGGCAGATGACCGCTTACTTAGGGGCTGAAAACAAGGCGGAGGTATGGTCTGACCTCTGGAGGTCAAAATTGAAATCGTTTTCACTGGGTGGAAATCAAGAGTGCTATCAGGGTCCGGGAGCGGTGGCTCGCTCCTGGAATCCCAGCACTGTGGGAGGCTGAGGTGGGCAGATCACCTGAGGTCGGGAGTTCAAGACCAGCCTGGCTAACATGGTGAAATCCTATCTCTACTGAAAATACAAAAATTAGCCAGGCGTGATGGTGGGCCCCTGAAGTCCCAGCTACTTAGGAGACTGAGGCAGGAGAATCACTTGAACCTGGAAGGTGGGGGTTGTAGTGAGCCGAGATAACACCACTGCACTGCAGCCTGGGTGACAGAGCGAGACTCCGTTAAAAAAAAAAAAAAAAAAAAGTGCTATCAGGGCCACGCTCCTCCAGAGGCTCCAGGGGAGAAGCCGTTTCCTGGCCTTTCCCAGCTTCTAGAAGCCGCCTGCATTCCTTGGCTCATGGCCCCATGTCCCTGCACCACTGCTTCTGTTACATCTCCCTGATGTCAAACACATCTCCAACCCTTCTTCCTCCCTCTCCCTTATAAGGACCCTTGTGATCTTAGTGGGTCCACCCCAGTCACCCAGACCACATTCTCCCCATGTCAAGGTCCTTCAGTTAGTCATGTCTGCAACGTCTCTGTCACCACATCAGAGAACACGTTCCCAAGTTGAGGATTAGGATGCGGACATCATGAGAAAGCTGGTGGGGGGCATTATTCAGCGGGCCACACTCCAGTCCTTCTCCAGGTCCCCTCCCTCCTCCCTTCCTGCCTTGGGCCCCCCTGCCCCACTCCCCATCCACATCACTCATTCATTCAACAAGTGTTTCCTGAGCACCTACTATGTACCAAGCCCTGGGCTGGGTGCCGAGGACACTGCAGGAAGCAGAGCTGGTCCCTGTGCTCATGAGTTTATAGCCCAGAGTGACAGACTAACCTAAATCTGCTAGTGACAAGTACTGTTCCGGACGGCTAAGGTACCCATGAGTGGAAGCACTGGGAATCCTGGATTTCCCAAATGGGAGAGACTTGCCTGGTGTAGTCAGGGAGGGTTTCCTGGAGACAGCAGCTTTTGGCAAAACATCAGTCGTTTTAGGCAAAGGAGACCCAAGCTACTTGTCTCACGCTGAGATAAGTAGTTGGTTTCAACCGCCCTGGGGGCACCTAAAACCCTCCCCCCACCACACGTGACTTAGCCTATCTCATCCCTGAGGTCTCTGCTCCCTGTTCCTCCTCCCAGACCTTCCCCTCCACCACCTTCCCTACCCCCTACCCGCAGCCTCTTCTGAGGGGCCTCCCTCCCTGCTCTGTGCACCCGGTGGTCATTCAGTGCTTGTTTATCGGCAGTCCCTGCCCCTCCTCCATGAAGTATCGTGTTCCTGAGGCAGGGATCGTATCCCATTCACTGCGGTATTCCCAGTGCCCAAAGGAGTCCCTGGCCCAGCGGAGGATATGGATGGGCAGATCCCCATCTGTCCAGACCCACACTCACCCCCCCATCCCGTGTCCCTCCTCTCTTCCAAACGCCACCTCCTCCTTCCTCCTTCTCTTCCTAGCTGCCTTCCCCGAGTGGCAGTCACCTTTGAGACTTCATTGTTTAGAAATGTTTTAGATTTGCAGAAAAATTCAGCTCAGGATTCCCATCTACCCCTCACCCAGGATCCTCTCCTGGTTTTAATGCCTCGGCTTACTTAGGTGCATCGGTCACAACTAAGGAACCCATATTGAGGCCTTCTCGTTACCTTGAGTCCGTCCACTTTCAGTTTGCCATAGATTTCCCTAATGTCCTTTTTCTGCTCCAGGATCCCACGTGCCATTTAGTGGTCATGTCTCCGAGGTTCTCGTTGGCTGTGACAGTTTCTGACTTTCCTTGTTTTTGACCTTGATCTTGAGAGTTTCGATTTTGTTTTTGTTTTGAGCAGAGTCTCTCTGTGTCACCCAGGCTAGAGTTCTGTGGGCGATCTCGGCTCACTACAGCCTCTGCCTCCCGGGTTCAAGAGATTCTCTTGTCTCAGCCTCCCAAGTAGCTGGGATTACAGGCATCCGCCACCATGCCCAGCTAATTTTTGTATTTGTAGTAGAGACGGGGTTTCACTGTGTTGGCCAGGCTGGTCTCGAACTCCTGACTTCAAGTGATCTGCCTGCCTCGGTCTCCCAAAGTGCTGGGATTACAGGCATGAGCCACCGTGCCCGGCTGTCCTTGACAGTTTTGAGGAGCCTCAGCCAGGTATTTTCCAGAATATTCTCTGAGCCTCCTTCAAAGATTTTCCCCAGCATCACTCAGTGACTTCGTATGCTTCATCGTCCAGAGCTGGAGCCACAGGAGCCACAGGAGCCACAGGGAGGCAGGAATGTGGCTGTGCGGCAGGAGGCCTCGCCTCCCTGATGCTGTGGGGTCCATTAGGAAAGGAGCGGGGAGACGGGCATTACCTGGGCGAGTGGCGGCCCCTGTCATTCTTGGGGACTGAGATCCTATGGCAGTGCACGTATTTTTAAAAGATGATTACTAAATATAAACAGTTTTAAATTACAGAGAAGTCACAGGTCCCTGTTTGAGAATCACTGATCTAGCTATGGTTCTCTGGTGGTTTGTGGAAGAAGGCTTCTCTCTAGCTTGGTATAACATGCTTACATGACCAGGTCCCGAGGGACAGGCCCACCCAGCCCCCCTCTATGAACTCAGAGGTGTCTGGGACAGTTCTGGTCCTGGGAGCCTCTCCTTGGGAGTGATATGTGGTAAGTCTGAGGTCTAGTTGCGGTTTTGCAAGATGGTTAAGATTATAGTTTCTGGAACCAGAGCTTTGGTTCAAGTCTCTGTTCTGCCACTAACTGGCTGTGGAAACTTGAAAAAAATTAATTCTTCCATGCTTCAGTTTCCCCACATGCAAAGTGGGGAAGATAATAGCGTCTTCCATTGGGGGTGGTGAGGTCTGAGGGTTAAGCCTTGTGGGGAGCTGCGCGCAGGGCCTGGTGCGTAGTCAGTGTTCTACAAATATCACTACCTCGCTTCCCCTTGCCAGGGTGTGTGGGTGTCTCTGCATCCCTGTCTGTGTTTCTGGTGTTACTGTTGCCTTAGATTCTCACCGAATAACTTGGCTTGATTATTGTGTGGGATTGTGTGGGAACCACACAGGTTGTACAGGCATCTCCAAGGTGAAGAGTGGACTGCGTGTGAGGAGACACACACAGGTGTTTTAAAAGGTATATCCTAAAATAGCCATTGCTTTCATTTTTTTTTTTAATCAAAATTTTGAACAATGTTAAGTGAAGAGATGAGACTTTCATGTTTTTAAGAGAGGTTGCTCATGCAAAGCTTTTCTGATCCTGGAGGCCCCCGAGGCCGTCATTGTGACACTCGTTCTGTAGGTTCGCTGTGTTCTTGGTTTCATGTCCATGAAGGTGCTGGACCATTTTGTGCTTTTAACACCAATTATTCGGGTTACAGGAGATTCCACAACCTTTTCCCCTTGCTCTCCTAGGTCACGGACCTCTTGGTGGATGAATCCAGTTTCACTGGGGAAGCCGAGCCATGCAGTAAAACAGATAGCCCCTTGACAGGCGGCGGGGACCTCACCACCCTCAGCAACATCGTCTTCATGGGGACCCTGGTGCAGTATGGAAGGGGCCAGGTAAGCCCTGGGGTTCCAAGGCTTTGGGCTCCCATAACCCACAGGCTCCCAGCCCTTAGATTTCATATTTCTCTCTCTCCTGGACACAGGGGGTCGTGATTGGAACAGGGGAAAGCTCTCAGTTCGGAGAAGTGTTTAAGATGATGCAGGCTGAAGAGGTAAGGGGCAGGAGGGGGCTTCGGGATTTTTGTAAGCTGGAGTTTGAGATTATTATAGGCTAATAATGTCAGCCCTGCCTACTCCTTAGGAATGAGAGGCGTGTAGTTAATATGAGTATACTTTTTAAACATTTAATTTTGTTGGTTTTTTGTTTTTATAGAGACAGGGTTTTGCCATGTTGCCCAGGCTGGTCTCAAACTCCTGAGCTCAAGCATTCTGTCTGCGTCAGCCTCCCAAAGTGCCAGGATTACAGGACTAATCCACCACACCTGGCCTCCTTTTAAACATTTAAGACATTTGTTAGCATTTTCATAAAGATACAATTTTCAGACAGTAACACGCACAACTCTTCAGTGCGGAAGTCAATGAATGTTGACGTGTGTACCCCTGTGTGATCATCACTCAAGCTGCAGGGTGGCAAGGTGAAGACATTTTGAACAAAGGCAGGCAGAAGCTGGGATCTTGTCCAACTAACCCATTGTGCTCACCCTTTCAGACACCTAAAACTCCTTTGCAGAAAAGCATGGACAGGCTAGGAAAGCAACTGACACTATTCTCCTTTGGCATAATCGGTAAGTGGAGCAGTTTCTGTACTGGGTTCTGCAGATGGAGAGGAGCCATCATAGGGTGGCCACCATGGCCATTTCTCAAATATCTTGCTGCTCAGCTGCATAAGGCTTGGGGATTGGGATCAGAGGCTCTCAAAAAGCAACAAGAGCTTTCTGTATAGTTGGACTAGGCTGGCTGCTATAATCAGTAGCCGCTACATTTTCTTGGCTTAACAGTAAACGCTTGTTCCTTGCTCACGCCACAGTCCATGGGTGTATTCCTGATCCAGTGGCTCTCCTGGATAGCTCGTCTAAAAACACTGACTTGGACCCAGGCCCCTACTATATTGTTGCTCTGTCTTCCTCTGGGTCCTTGGATGCCATATTTCTGTTCAGCCAGCAGATGGTGAAAGAGAAAACATGGAGGCTTGTGGGGGACATTTTTAAGGCATAGACCAGGAAGTGGAGTCATCAATTTGCCTGTCTTTTATTGGCCAGAATGAGTCACATGGCCTATGTAACTGCAAAGGAGACTGGGAAATGTAGTTTAGCCGTGCACCCAATCATATTTCTATGCTTCTAAGCAGCCTGTGCCTGGGCTGGGACTTCCTGACCTTTGGTAACACGCCAAACAGCATTGATGCTGCAGTCCTGAATCTAGATCTTAAGCCTTAACATCCCCATGGTACTGCCCAGTCCCTTCACTGGCTTCTTTCTGCTCTTTCCAGTTCTGGCTTTGCTTTATTCCAGCCTTTAGGATCAACCAGTGCCTGGCCTCTAATAGATTCTCAGTAAATATTTGTTGAGTGAAAAATTTAATCCAGGAATAAACCAACAAGCCACTGCCTATAGCACATCCAATGATGAGGGAGGTGCTGGTGAGTGTGGCCAAAACTGTAGAGCCAGAGAACAGTCTTGAGAGAAACAGCTTATGTAATCCCGTGTTTCTTAAGTTAAATTAGAACTTAAATTGACATGTCCACAGCAAGGCCCATGATACCACTCAGATTTTTTTTTTTTTTTTTTTTTTTTTTGAGGTGGAATCTCACTCTGTTGCCCAGGTTAGAGTGCAGTGGCATGATCTCAGCTCACTGCAACCTCCACCACCTGGGTTAAGCTATTCTCCTGCCTCAACCTCCTGAGTTGCTGGGATGACAGGCATGCACCATCATGCCCAGCTAATTTTTGTATTTTTGATAGAGACAGGGTTTTGCCATGTTGGCCAGGCTGGTCTCGAACTCCTGGCCTCAAGTGATCTGCCCGCCTTGGCCTCCCAAAGTGCTAGGATTACAGGCATGAGCCACTGCACCCAGCCTTTTTTTTTTTTTTTTTTTTTTAAATATTTTGAGAACTGCTATAGCAGAGGGAGAGTTTTGAAACTCAGTCCCATGGACCCCCTAGAAGGCCCAAGGGGCAGATGCAGGGAAGTCACACCATACTGTTAAGTGCTTCTAGAGGAAAGTAGCATTTGCCAGTTCCCATGGTGTAAGTACTCTTAGTGTGGCTGTTTTCAAGCTACTAACGTATAGACACTGAACATGGATTTCGGAAGAGATGTACCTAGTTGAATCTTGTGAGTTCCTGTGAGGAATCTCCAGCCTTCTGCTATGGGAAGGCCACAAGGGTGGGAGTGGGGTAAGTTCCTAGTGGGGGTGGCTCCAGGCTCACTGCCTCACCCCCATTTCCAATAGAGTTCCCCTGCTAATCTATTTCATTTGAGTTCATTTGGGCTCTAGCTAAGATTTTAACTGATGACTGAGTTTAGTAGCTAATTGTAGGATGCCCAAAACAAAACTAACAGATACTGTGGTAGCTCCCCCGCTCAACACGCATAGACACACACCCCCCACTACCACCCAGCAGAACACATCCCTGGCCCCCTGGCCCCTGCAGAGCAAAGCTGGCATTCTTTAGAAAGCTCTCCAAGGGTGTCACCGGGCAACCCCACCCACCTTCCCAGTCCCTACTCACTCCTTCCGACAATGATGGCAACAAGAGTTAACGATTAGATTGGTGTTTGCTGTGGCCCAGGAGCTGTTCTGAGCACAGACTGTCATACCTTAAACCAACTACTCTTTGAGGGGGGCACGACAATGAGCCCCACTTTATAGATGACGAGACTCAGGCTGTACCAGGCAACCTGAGCACCTTTCCCCGTTGCCAGAGCATCTCGTGAACTTCCACAGGCCCCAGGGCAGCTCCTGCCATTTGTGCCTTGAGGGTCTATCTGTGACCACCTCCACGTCTCGCACACCTAGTGCAGTACCTGGTGTGCACTAACTATTGGGTAAATTATTAATGAAGGAAAACAGAAATGAAGTATATTTAATCATGAGTACCACAGAATAAAATAATTTAAAAAAAACCCCGTGGCCCATCTACCCGTCGCATGAGCAGCTGCATTTGCCACAGCAAACACCGCATGGGGGCATGTTCTGGATACACACAGCAGATGGGAAACTTTGGGAATAAGATGTTTGCAAACAGTCCAAAATAAACTAATTGAGTCTTTAACTTAAACTTGGCTTGGACCTTTCCTGAGAAAGTAAAACCAGGTTTTTGTAGGTATAAATGTATCTCCCTTAGAAAAAAGAAGAGAGGGCTTGAAAGTATTTGAGGTTATCAGTCGTTCCTCTGTGCATGCGTTCCTGTAAACTCTTCAAGGAAGTGGGTTTGAATCCCTCCAGGCATCTGCGTGTGCAGCGCATATGGAGATAAGGATGTTTCTGTCTCTTCCCCAGGTCTCATCATGCTCATTGGCTGGCTGCAAGGGAAACAGCTCCTGAATATGTTCACGATTGGGGTCAGGTAAGGGTGCTGTGGCCGCCCCTTGCCTTGCCAGGGTGGTCATGGGCTCTGAGCCCTTCCCTGCAGCAAGAGAAGGTGGGGAGGCTGCAGAACAGGAAGGGTTGGGGAAGGTGCAACCCCATCACCCAAACTCCAGCCTCCCAATAGCACGTTCTCCGACAGGTACAGAGTGCCTGGTGAATGCCTGCAAAATGAGTGACGGCGTATAATCGGGGGGGCCCTTTTGTATTAGGCTGTTCTTGCATTGCTAAAAAGAAAATACCTGAGGCTTGGTAATTTATCAGGAAGAGAAGTTTAATTGGCCCACGGTTGTACAGGCTGTACAGGAAGCGTGGTGTCTGCTCAGCTTCTGAGGAGGCTCCAGAAAGTTTCCAGTCAAGGTGGAAGGGGGAGCAGCCATGTCACATGGCAAGAGTGGGGGCAGGAGAGCAGGGGGGTGGGGGGGGTTGCCACATGCTTTGAAACAATCAGATCTCTCAGGAGCTCACTCTAGCAAGAACAGCTCGAAGGAGATGGCGCTAAACCATTCATGAGGGACCCACCCCATCATCCCATCTCCTCCCACCTCCAACATTGCGGCTTATGTTTCAACATGAGGTTTGGGTGGGGACACACATTCAAACTGTATCAGCTTTCTTGTCACTCCTTGCCTGTGGGTTTGGGTCTTCTTTCTGGCTAAGAGCAAGGACCCCAGAGCCAGCCTGCCTCTGTTTAAATTCTGCACTTTGCCACTTGCTGGTTTTGTGACCTCTGGCAAGTTTCTCAGCTCTCTGTGCCTCAGTTTCCCCCTCTCAACGGAAATGCTCATGTACCCTCTCCTTGGGCGACTGTCTGGATTAAAGGAGTTAGTCCATGCAAGCGCCCACATTATTACTAGTTTAGAACTCGATCCAAGCCCTTGTTTTACAGAGGAGGCGATCAGAGAGGCAATGGACGTGGAGCCCAAGGCCACACGAGGATGGCAGGGCTGGGAGTCACTATCACTTGATGATGCTAACCCGAGGGGACCCGCCCTTCTTCTATGTAGTCATCCCAAGCCTCTGGGTCCTGTTGACCGAGACAGGGAGAGGCACGGGCAGCCCAGCATCGTGCAGCGGTGTGATTTCATCGGTAGTTCTTCCATGGCTATTTACCAAGGGCAAGGGAAGCAGAGGGCTGGGGATTGTCACTAACTGGGTATGTCCCATTGGAAGGAAGGCTAGGAGCTATTCCAGGACAGGGAGAAACCAACCCATGTCTAGGCTCACATCAGGCCCAGTGGTTCCCGGACGGTAACGCACATGCAGCTGCTGTCTGCAAGATGCTTTTAGGTGATGTGTGGAAAATTATTGTAGTGTCTGTTCTTATGTATATATGTGTAATTAATACATCACACCCACGATGTAAACAAACTTAGATGTCCGTCAGCTCATGAAAGAATAAACAACTTGGCCGGGCGCGGTGGCTCAAGCCTGTAATCCCAGCACTTTGGGAGGCCGAGACGGGCGGATCATGAGGTCAGGAGATCGAGACCATCCTGGCTAACACGGTGAAACCCCGTCTCTACTAAAAATGCAAAAAACCAGCCGGGCGAGGTGGCGGGTGCCTGTAGTCCCAGCTACTGGGGAGGCTGAGGCAGGAGAATGGCGCAAACCCGGGAGGCGGAGCTTGCAGTGAGCTGAGATCCGGCCACTGCACTCCAGCCAGCCAGGGCTACAGAGCAAGACTCCGTCTCAAAAAAAAAAAAAAAAAAAAAAAAAAAAAAAAAAAAAAAAAAAAACAACTTAGGTACAGTGGAATATTTTTCAGCCACAGAAAGGAATCAAGTACTGATTGATACTGCAACATGGATTAATGTTGAACCCGTTTTTCTAGGTGAAAGAAGCCAGTTGCACATATTGTATGATTTTATTTATATAAAATATTCAAAAATAGGTCAATCGGCCAGGCGTGATGGCTCATACCTGTAATCCCAGCACTTTGGGAGGCCAAGGCAGACGATCACCTGAGGTCGGGAGTTCTAGACCAGTCTGGCCAACATGGTGAAACCCTGTCTCTACTAAAAATACAAAAATTAAATGGCTGTGGTGGCAGTCGCTTATAATCCCAGCTACTCGGGAGGCTGAGGCAGAGGAATCACTTGGGCCCGGGAGGCGGAGTTTGCAGTGAGCCTGCGCCGTTGCACTCCAGCCTGGGTGACAGAGCAAAACTCCGTCTCAAGAAGAAAAAAAGGGAGGTAGAAAGGGATGGACTGGAAGAGGTGGCCGGGGAGGGTTTTGGGTGGAGAGTTGAGTCAGGAGATGGGCAGGAAGGGTGTACCAGGCAGGGGGAACAGCACAGGCAAAGGTTTGGTGGTGGGAACATGTCTGAGGGCCACTGCAGGGGACCACAGCTGAGCTCTGTGACCAGAACGAGAACATGGAGTCGCCTAGATCATGGGGAAACTCACAGCTCCTTCTCCTATTCCTAACCTCATCATCAGAGGGTTTCCCAGTATGCCACGCCAGGCCGTCTCTGTGACACTTTGGAAGCAGAGAGCTGAAAAGTGTTGGCCACCCTTGATTTAGAGGCTGAAGGACGTGGGAGGTGGGAGCACCAGCTTATTACAGAAGCGGGGGCTGGGAGGAGGGGGCACTGGAGCAGGACGCTGAGCTGTACTGGGGCCGGTGGGGTTTGAGGCATTGGAAGGGTACCTGCAGAGGCAGGCACTAGAGAGCCAAGGTCTCAGGCTGAGCTGAAGAAGGGGAAGGTCCCTGAGACAGCCTGGTAAACCGGGATGGCCACTCCCCCAACTCAGGGCTGGGCGGGGCCTGAGACTCACATTTCTTCCTTTTTATTATTTCAATAGGTTTTTGGGGAACAGGTGGCGTTTTGTTACATGAATACATTCTTTAGTGGTGATTTCTGAGATTTTCATGCACCCATCACCTGAGCAGTCTACACTGCACCCAATGTGTTCAGACTCACCTTTCTTTTGTTTGCTTTTTTTTTTTTTACATAAGTTCTAGAACACATGTGCAGAATGTGCAGGTTTGTTACATAGGTATACATGTGCCATGGTGGTTTGCTGCACCTGTCAACCCGTCATGTAGGTTTTAAGCCCCACATGCATTAGGCATTTGGCCTAATGCGCTCCCTCCCCTTTCCCCCCAACCCTCCGACAGGCCCTGGTGTGTGATGTCCGCCGCCCTGTGTCCAAGTGTTCTCATTGTTCAACTCCCACTTAGGAGTGAGAACATGCAGTGTTTGCTTGCTTATTTTTGAGATGGAGTCTCACTCTGTCCAGGCTGGAGTGCAGTGGTGTGATCTTGGCTCACTGCAACCTCCACCTCCTGGGTTCAAGCGAGTCTCCTGCCTCAGCCTCCCAAGTAGATGGGATTACAGGTGCCCGCCACCACACCCGGCTAATTTTTGTATTTTTAGTAGAGACGAGGTTTCACCATGTTGGCCAGGCTCGTCTGGAACTCCTGACCTCAGGCGATCCGCCTGCCTCTGCCTTGCAAAGTGCTGGGATTACAGGCATGAGCCACTGTGCCTGGCTGAGATTCACATTTCTGACAAGCTCTCAAGGGTGCTAACATAGCTGGTCCAGGGAGCACTCTCTGAATGTGAGGCTGTGATTTGACACTGTGCCCCCAGAGCAGGTTCCAGCAAGAACAGGACCAGGGAAGAGGCCAAGACACCTGAACAGCATTCTCAGGTGACTGAGCCTTTGGAGGCAGGAGTGGTGGCAGGGAGGGAGATATTGAGCCTCAAGGAAGCTGCCAGAGAACACAGGACTCTCAGAAGACAGAATGCTTAAAAACTCCCCTAAATAGGCTGGGCACAGTGGCTCACACCTGTAATCCTAGCACTTTGGGAGGCTGAGGCGAGAGGATACCTTGAGCCCAGGAGTTTGAGACCAGCCTATACAACATACTGAGACCCTGTCTGTGCAAAAACAAATGTTTTTTAATTAGCCAGGTGTGGTGGTGCAAGCTTGTAGTCCCAGCTACTCGGGAAGCTGAGGCGGGAGGATCACTTGAGCCTGGGAAGTCAAGGTTGCAGTGAGTCATGATCTTATCACTGCACTCCAGCCTAGGCAACAGAGACAGACCCTATCTAAAAAAAAAAAAAAAAAATTTTTTTAAAAAAACCTCCTGTAGATCACGAGGTCAGGAGTTCGAGACCAGCCTGGCCTAAACGGTGAAACCCCATCTCTACTAAAAAACAAAAATTAGCTGGGCATGGTGGCACACGCCTGTAGTCCCAGCTACTGAGGAGGCTGAGGCAGGAGAATCGCTTGAATCCAGGAGGCGGAGATTGCAGTATGCTGAGATCACGCCACCCACTCCAGCCTGGACAACAGAGACTCCATCTCAAACAACAACAACAAAAAAAAACCCTCCTGCAAATAATGGTGCATCCCATCCCTGTCTTACAAGCCATGAAAAGTTTCATGAGCCAAGAAAGACTATTAAATATTTCCAGGAGAAAAAGCAAGAAAGGCTTTTCTGCGCCCAAACCCCAAATCGCCCGATTCTCTCCCCACGCTGTACTATTGGTCACTTCTGGTTTCTTGTCCTAACCTCCCTTGCAACACAGGCTTCCTGCTTGACCCACGCGAGTGGACTTGCACATGGGAGAACTGTTCCCCCTCTCATTTGTGATTTTGAAAGGGTAAGGTTTTTCAGTTTTAGTGCCAGATTAAAGCCACCCAAAACCACTGAATCAGAAGACAGAAACGGCAGCTTAGCCAGTGGAGATTTTCCAAAATAAGTAAAATGAGAGAATCATTTTTTTTAAAACTTTAAGAACTTTTTAAAAATGAATTCCTGGGCCGGGTGCAGTGGCTCATGCCTGTAATCCCAGTACTTTGAGAGGCTGAGGCAGGTGGATCATGGATCATGAGGTCAAGAGATCAAGATTATCCTGGCCAACACTGTGAAACCCCGTCTCTACTAAACATACAAAACTTAGCCAAATGTGGTGGCGGGCACCTGTAGTCCCAGCTACTCGGGAGGCTGAGGCAGGAGGATCAC